CCCCAAAACCCCAAAACCCCAAAACCCCATGATGCTAAACTGAAAAAGGCTATAAATTATGGTGAATTAAAAAATCAAGATTATCTGCGATTTTGAAGTTCAGTTCCAGCAAGCGCTTCTAACGTAGAATCATTTAATTAACCTGTAGATTGATTTGGAGTCAAGTTTTAATTTTATCTCTATGCAGCAAGACCGTTGAAAGCATCTTCACTTGGGAATCGAGAGGATTCATTTGAATGATTGATTAGTTAGTTTATAAATTCCTATCTAGAGGTCGATATGTTTGGCTTCTAATGAGAGATAACAACTTTGTCACTGACATACTTGGTATACTTTGCAGCGATTTGAGTATCCTATTAATATAGAGAATTCAACTAGTCAGTAGAACGAGATAGTTTAAACTTCAGATAATTCAAGTCATCCTCTTACTTCCTAATTTTACCTTCAATGTCTCTGGCGCTTTTTTCTAATTACTCCAGAAGATTATTTTGAGACTTGAATATTTGAATAATGGTGTCTCTTTACTCAGGTTTGCAATACATTTTCAAAAGCTCTTCTTCGGCTGCCCACACCTGTTTTTGCTTGATACTTAGCTTTGCAAGTCCTTCTAGCTGCCTTAGCATCTTGAGATCACTGATCTACTCATTTTAAGTCACCTTAATGCCAGTCAGGAATCTTTTGATTTGATGACTATTTTTTTGTATTGCTTAGATGGTTTTATCATAATCAAAATAGTACCTTGATTCTCTCACAAGCCCAAGTATATCATAATCATCAAACAATTTATTTATCTCTATGAATTTGAGATTAAACTGTTCTCTGATATGATTTATTGCATCCTAATCTTTTTGAATCTAAGCATCTGCTTATGCTAATAGAGTTGGAACTATATCAGGCAAGGCTGCGGCTCTTTGACCTAACAATTTTTACAGGTTCTATACTAATATTTAGTTTTTGTTGCTTTAAATAGTGAGCTAATGACTTTCACTGCTATCAAAAGATGATTTTTATTCCTCTGGTTGCTGCTAGACTTGGCTAGTGTTTTGTTGGTTCATTAATTAACTTATTTAATTTTTAAACTTTTCATGATCCTTCTCGCTATCAATAATTTAAGCATGCAGTGAGGTCCATTTGCTTCTATGAGTGGCCATTTCGTCTCTGACTTCAGTATATTGAACAATACCTTGTTCCATTTAATCACTAATGCACTGGTAGCATAGCAATTATTTTTTAGATCCACTTAGATATAAAGCATATTGGTCATGCAAGTTACATCTCTTATGCTTATTCAAATCCAACTGATCATCCTGGAATAATTATGAATTAGACATTTTAAATTTATTATTAAGGGAGTTTATGAAATTAAGTTTAATAATAGGTATGACTCATGAATAAATCCTTTTTGAAGTTTCTATAAATTTTTAAACATAACTTTGATCATACTATTACTCAATATCATTCCCAATCTAGAGTACTTGAGGATCCATTTATCACTCAGTGCATTCTTTAAGAGTTTCCAAGAGAGCAGGATTTATCTCATACTTGGTCACATAGAAATTGTTTTTGACCATATAAAAAGTGTTGCTCTTGCTATCATCGAATATAACTGTCTCATCATTCTGATAAGACTCCTCAACGTTTTAGGTCTTTAGATCGAAGATTTAATTATATACATTGAATATAGGGTTCAATATGAAGAGACCATTAGATTCCTTGGCTAATACATAGGGATACTTTTAGATGTTAAAGCCAGGAAACAGATTAAGTGAAAGACCATGAGAGTGCTGCCCGTCTCCAAGGTCAGTGACTATCTTTTTAACAACATCTATTGTTTGATACCTTGCAGGTTTATAAGACAAAGTAAGGATTTGAGTAGCATCTAATTCAACAACGTCTTTAACTGACAATTGTTTTAAAAACTAAGCTCTGTATAAGAGTTTAGGGCCGAGGAAATCAATGTCAAGCAATATCACTCCATCGTCAAGATAACCAATGGCTATCGAGTTATTCAAAGGCAAGTCTTTTATGCAAAGGACAATAGGATTCATCATTCTTGTCTCATTATTGCGCTTTATAACCATGTTTAATGGAACTTGCTAATCTTTCAAAGTAAGCTTTCCAAAGCTTGTACTGAATTAGTATAGATACACTGTTCCTAGTTCAGATGCCATAGCCAAGTAATGTTTGCCATTCTAATTGAAATACAAAGGCTTCAAAAATAGAATGGGCTCCTTATTTTCATTGAGAATCTTCTCACTTTCTTAATACTTGAGGTCTTTATAGATTAAGATTTCGCTGAACTTAGAATGAGTTTAGATTAGAATGTAGTTTTCTATTTGAATAAACCATCTCATGTTCAATCTTGAATTGAAACTCTCAAGAGTTAGAGACTTGTAAATCTTAAAATTTGTTGGATCTAAGAAATTTATCTTTTTGTCCCCTCCTCTAAATGCCAGATATTGTTGTCTCTAATTTTAGAGGTTAGCCAAATGAGTACTTGCAATACTCATTAAAATACAGTCCTAATGTAAGTCTTTTACCGAAGCAATTTCTTTGACTATTTCTTCTTTAAATTCTTAAAAAAGCTAAGACCTGATGAATATCTGATACAAGTCAAGCATGTCCTATTTGCTTAAGTTTAGATCTTAAAAGGATTCCTTCATTCTTATTTCATTCCCTGCATCCAGAATGTGAGGATTTTAAACTCTATTACCCCTTTCTTTTCTATGCAGCAAATTGATTTAAGTGTCAATAAGTCCTTTGACATGGCAATCCAAATTCAAGTAATTATTTTGTTGCTCGTCAAATGTTTTCTTGCTCTTATCAACAAACTACTCAAACTTTGAGAGCACTGCATTCTATCTCTGTAAGAGGTAGTTAAGAATTATGTCATCTGATTCTCTCTAAACCATTTTACTTAGCTGGTCTCTTTCCTAAATGATTTTATCTTTAGTCTCAGAGTGGTCTAAAGCAGCCAAGTCTTTCTTTAATATTTACTCAAATGTACTCTTTGACTCTGAGCTTAGCTCGATATTCTAATTCAAAATCTACAAATAATTGAGTCAACAAAAATGAAAATATAAATGACTCAAATGAGTTTAATAAAACTTAAAGTGTTAATGGATGAGTGTGTAAATAATGAGAAGCATTTAAATTCAGCTAGTGCATGATACTTACTGATTGTTCTTGGGAATTTTGAATTGTGAGATTTTCCAGCATTTATTTAATCTCAATTAATACTTCATTTTGATTTTACTGGACTGGCTAAGATACTTGATTTGCAAAAGAAAATTCAGAACTGCTTGACAAAGCTAAATAGTTAATCTTTCATAATAGTACTTGGATTCTATTAGTAGTATTAGTCTAGTTACTGTTTGAAATCAAGCATTATTTGCTGCAATGATTTTTGTTCTCTTTCCATTTCAATGAATTTTAAATATTTACAAATTTCTATTTAAAATAAGGTATAATGATAGAGCGGGGTTTTGGGGTTTTGGGGTTTTGGGG